TGGATAATGGATATGTATGTTTCATTACTGTTCTAGCATTGTATGGTAAATTTTATTGTTATTTATTCAAAACAGTAGAATTATATGGTTTTACTCTCTTAAAAAGTAATTGGTTCTCACACTTTGTCTATTGAAGAAAAAATGTTACCAGTCCCTAGCCAGATCATAACATGAATTTGATGGCCTGCTCTGGAATCACAACAGAACTTAATTACTTAAACGTTTTTGAAGTAGGAAATGTGTCTGAATGAAAGTTATATTAGACTGTCATACATTGAATTTTTTTACCAGCTGTATCTCAAAATACAGCTCCTGAAGTTTTCCCATAATGTATATTGAATAGCCTCTGCACTGTAATGATTTTATTATATTATATCATTGATATTTTGAAGCCAGCACAACCGACAGACCTTGCTGATTATTTAATTTCTCTGAACCACCCACCCGTCTCCTAAATCAGCCTAAATCCCAGGAAGAGGGGGCAGTTGTTGGGCAATTATCAAACATATGTTTCACCCCTCACTTGGTAGTCAACAGACACCAGAACTTCTTCCTGAATGACACTGTATGCAATACAACACATTACAATGTGTAAGTATATTTTCATCATCTTTTTGACCTTGACCTATTCACACCACTAACCCCATCCATCAATGATATATGGGAGCTTGGAGCGGGCATGGATATGTGAGGAGGTATGTAATGTATGTGGAATATGAAGGAGCATGTGGAATATGAAAAAAAAATGGAGTGCTCATATGGGGTGGGTGGAAAATGTGAAGGTAGTGAGGGGAAAGGATTGCATGCCATACATTCATCATTAAAACTGGGCCAATGTCTCAGTACCAGATGGCCATTATAACCTGTCAGCCTCACTATTCATACTCTTCCTTTGCTGCATTCAGGTTGCGGAGAAGAATGATAAAAGTGACAGTTAAGTGGAGGACAAGGTTGTAGAAGATTCTGAGGCAGATTTCACTGGGACGGTATGCAGGACAGAGCTGATAGGCATGCATGCAGAGATGCTTCGTGCATTGGCAGGTCTTCCACAAAGAGTGTTATGCCCCTCAATGAGCTAGAAGGTCTCCAAATTTGCATTGGGCTTCAGACAGAACTTGGAGCTCATTCTTGAAACTGGTCAATGCCATGAAAACACTCATTACATGCAAATGCTGACAGCTGTCAAGAAAATTGTTATAGCATTATCCCAGGGAAGTCACATTGGCTCCTTACTTCACAAACCTGTTCTTTAAGAGTGTGAACATTCATGCTTTACTATTAAGTCTCAAGGGGCATCTCATGGATCATCAATGATGTTCCTCACACAATGATAATAATGTTCTCTCCAGAAAAATGACTGGCTTCCTATCCTTGCTGAGCTCCACTCCATCATTAACTCTAAGTTATCTGGGTCTTTATATGCTTGGACTATAGATTATTTTGACACCTTTGAAGAAATTGCACAAGTAATTGATCTCACCAAGTTGTTGAACCTCCCTTGCTCTTTTTGTCCACTGTTTGTTCTCTAATGCATAGTGAAATTATAAGTTTGTGAAAGCTTAGCACTTATATTTGATTAGATCCTGTATCTCTCAGTCATCTTCATTAAACCAGTCTTGATGTTTCTTTGGGGTGGGGGTGGGGGGATTGGGGTTTTGAGGGAGAGAGAGAGACACAGACAGAGAGGCAGACAGAAGGTCCTGTTTGCAGGTGTTTATCTTCAAGCTCAGTGAGGCACTGTGGTACACCATAGATCTGGTGGCCTGGTGGCTAGTGGTTGAGAGGCTGGCATTGAGACGTTGACTGAAAAGGGATCTTTGTGCTTTCATTCTTGCTACTCTAGTTTAATTCTGTTATCTCCAATGTTTGGGGATTAGGCAGTGGGAGGTGGTAGATCCACCTTGAGAGTTTTGGATCTTGAAAGATCTTGAAAGGACCTGGCCATAGATTTTCTCTCATTTCTGATTTCAAGTTCCCGACTTCTTCTCAACATCAGGAAGACACTTCTGCTCTGGAAAATGCTAGTTATACTGCAAAACCCTATTGTTTTATTGTTTTGTCCATTTAAAGGTCTTCAACCAGATCATTGCCTTCCTCCCACCACTATTGTGATTGTGAGACTTCAGCCTTTTGCTGAGTCTAAGTCTGACCACTTGTAAGTGTTTCTTTCAGCACCAGATGAAGGAGTAGATAAGGCAAAGTGTGGTCTGTGGCAGGGGCCAGTTGCAAGTAACTGGGAGCCATTGTGATGATGTATAACATGATGAGGTGTGACGGAATTGAGCTTTGGTGAGCTTCTTTGCACTGGGGTGATACGTACTTATATTTGCTTGTGCATAGATCATACTATGTTTCATAGCAAATCCTGGCCTCCAATTTGGAGCCCCCTTGCCCTTGAACAAAAATCTCACTCTGCTGAGACTGTATGATGGTCAATGTGCAACAATCCTACAGTTTAGAAAAATAAATCACATACAGGTATCTTCTGGTGTTTTATGCAATGTAGCAATGCTTATGTTATCTCATACCATAAGAAACTGGATATGGATTTTGTTATTGAAGAACTCCAGAGACTTACATTACGATTAACTATTATGTAAAAGCATTCAATTCTTCAGACACCTAAGTGTTGGGCTAACATTAAGCTAATAGTTCATAACAGAGGAGCACTCTTCCAGTCTGGTGTCATACTTCAAGCGATCCAAGGTAAGGTGGAGGCTGTAATCTTTATACCCTCATTACACTCCATGATACAGTGATGATATCATAAGTAAACATCTTAAAGGCATATGGTATACTGACCGTGAGATGCAATGCAACATCTTTGTTTTCCTAAGATTAAAAACATATTCCTAACAGATATAATTGGTTGTACATTGGCATGTGTTGCCAGTTCAATTGTTATATAAACTACAAGACAAACATTTCAGACTTCAATGTAACATTCCGAAGGTTTGACAACTTGTCCCAATCTGGTGATTGTAGACCCATCAGGAGAGGTTTGCAATGTGCCCTGTTGCGCTTGTTTGACAACTTTATTGTCTTGCTGCTGACTGCTATCATTCAACATTGCTGCACACTTATCATCAGTGTTCTTCTTTACCCTCTTTGTGCATGACTGGTGTGCTCGACATTGTTCTAGATGTTTTCTGTTCCTTCACAATGTAACACTATGATCAATAACAATTTTCTATATGGACTAGGTCCATATTTTAGAACCTTTTGCTGCAATTCAAATCATTGTACCTGTATTGCCAACCTGCCCTCTTGCTACAATGCACAGTTGGGTAGTTATTTACTGGCTCGCACATAAATCTCTTTCATTCTCCTCTGTCTTTGAAGAAAATGTCCTTTGCCTCAGAATGGTTAAATAATTTTTCCAGCAAATCACTCATTTGCCTTCTGAGCATAAGTTGTACTGAGGAAGACAACTCCTTCTTCATTGTGTTGCACAAAAATGCACCAACACGATGCAATACATTTGCGTTGTTGCTTGACACTTAATGATCATTGATTTGATACTACATACCATGAGTTCTTTTGGACCATTTAAAGGTGGATGCTGGAGTGACAATATGTTTTGAAATAGTTTGCCAGTGCATCACACTCTGTTGTCAGACACTGTCCATTCCAGGGCACTCAACAAACTGAAAGTAGCAGTTATGTCGTAGCACTGCATTGTTGAATAAGGGAAAATTTAAGGAAGTTCTCTGTCACAAGGATGTGAAGGCTTCTTTTATTGCCAGGAGTTACGACATTTGATATGCCTTACATGTAAAGTGTCACCATAGTCTTACCAGACCATAAAGTGGACAGTCACCACACCTCAGGAGAAGGGACAGGTGGAGAAGGAGAGTACTTCATGGTAACATCAGACAAATTCATCCCTGGCCAGTACACAGATTTACATGTTAGCTGTCCTGTGAGTTCATTAGCTACAGTGTAACATAGACATGGTATCTTGGAATAGTGTATTTTGGTATTAGGAGTTATTACTTTGAAAATATGATTATATTAAATTCATCACTGTATGGCCAAAATGAAGAGATCTTCTCAGGTACCTCATTAACAATGGAGCAAGAAACACAGTTAAATGTTTCAAGTCTAATACGACTCCTCTTCAGAATAGTTCTGAAAAATTCAAATTGGATTCAAAACATTAACTATGCTTCTCTCTCTACTGGTGCTGCTAGAGCTGCGGAGTTCCTCCATCATTTTGTGTTTCTGCTTCAAATTTTAAGCATCAATAGTATTTTGCTTTTACTTCATTAAGAGTGTCAGGCTATTCTTGGATCCGCTTGCAGTTACTTATCTTCACGACCAATCACATTGGTTCTGGCAAATCTAACTGATCGACTTTGAGCTACAGCATTAATGTGCAATTCGAGGGAAATATGTTGATCCTTGTGAAGGTTGGGTATTCGGCTCAATGCATCAGACACATAGGCACAAGTAGATTATGGCTGAGTGGTGGGGGTGGGGGGAAGCAGAAAGTTGGGGCATTTCACTCCATTGATGAGATGACAAATGCATGGTTTAGAATAACACCAGCATTATGGGGTTCAAACCTTATTCTGGCTGAGATAAGACTTGTGGTCTGCATCCTTTCCCTGACGCACACTAACAGCATAGTGTTAGCTGTAGATTTGCAGTCTTTGAATGATTGAAGATGCTACCTGGAGAAGAAAGCTTTGTGTTTGAAAAAAAAAAAGATACATTGCTACAGATTTCAGTAGGACCAGTCAATGAATTAGATATTGCTTTCTCTGGAGAATTCTGACTTGTAGAGTGAGATTCTTATTCAATTACAAATGTTTAATGTTTTATTTTTAATATCTGAGCAATTAGAAGTAATCCAAATTCATTATGTAAACACATATTCAGTTATGTGTATGATATCAAGCAAGGATTTTCAGTTAGCCAGCCTTTAAACATGAGATGTATTTGCATCCATTTGCTAGTATTCACAAATTGTCTGCATAACATTTTCATGAATATAAATGGAGGAAAATATACTCAAAGCCATCAATCTCTCCAGAAATACTAACTGTGTCTCAGGCTAATTTATTCCATCTCTTTCTTTGATTTTCCATGCTAAATATTACATTGATTTTAGGTGAAGAAAATTCACATCAGCAAAGCATTGTTTTAACAATTGTGTTTAGTCCCTTTAATTATCTGTTACATTTAAAAGATGTTCATCAACAAAGAAAAACACTATTTTCACTGGACATGACAAAAAAAAGCTACTGTAATCAAGTAATGGTTCTTCACACTTCAGTTAATCCAGTCAGAATTTAGAGATCCAATTCCTGCCTCTAACAAGCAATTGCAGCAGGAACTAGATAAGCATCAGTAACACAGCAGACTTTCAAGTGCTTGTGTTGCCATTTGATCCTCTACATAATATTCACATTCTTTCCTGGGGTACAATTCCATCTCTTCCCAAAATGTGAGATATTTTAAGGTGTCAGCAAAATCACCAGTGATGGACTCTTTGCTGAAACATTTCTGGATGATTCATGGAATTACTAAATTTTCCTTTGTAAATTCCATAATTAAAATGGATGTACCACTGATTGACAACTTATCAAGGATCTGTCACAGTTGTGCCATTTGAAATGCCTGTGTTCACATAACATCATTTTAAAGAAGAACCTGATGATACAGAATGGCATGAGGATCCCAAGTTAAGCAGCACTGAGTGATTTTCCTGTCTTAAACATTTATCTTAACTAACAACTGGAATCATAAACGGTTATAGCTCAGAAGGTCCATTGTCAAGTCTACTTGCTGCTACACAAATTCATCTGGTCCTACTGATCTGTCTTTTCCCTGTAGCCCTGCAAGTCTTTTTTTTTCCCCTTCTTTCCTTAGATACCAATCTAATTTCCTTTCTAAAGCCACAATTTTATCTCCTTCCACCAACTCTCAGGCAGGTCACTCCAGATCCTAACACCTCACATCCTAAAAAGACTATTGCCATGTTGCATTCAGTTCTTTTTACCACTCACACTAAAGCCATACCTTCTGGTTCTTGAAACTGTCACCAAAAGGAATTGATTCTCCTATTCTACGTTATACAGACATCTCATGATTTTGAACACTTCTTGCATATCTCTCAATCATCTGTTCCCTAAGGAAGCAGCTTCTCTAATCCGTCCATGTGACAAAGTTTCTCAAGCCTGGAATCATACTTGAAAATAATTTTCTGTATACTGTTGATTTCCTTCACATCCTTCCTGGAATGTCGTTGTACAATTGCACACAATATTCCAAATGAGACTAAACCAGCGTTTTGTAAGGCTTCATCATAACTTTCTTGCTTTCACAACTAACCTGTTTATGTTATGACACACCTCTGGGACAGGTGGGATTTGAACCCATACTTTTTCCCCACAGAGGTAGAAACACTATTGCTACACAACAAGACCTGTAGATCAATTATATTACCTCCACATAAGACCACAGATAGGGCATCAGTTTAACATTTTATTTGAATGACAATAGTTCTGACAGTGCAGCAATCCCTGATATATTAAATGGTAGTGTTGGCCACGATTTTCATGCTTAAGGTTTCTGGAGTGAGACTTGAACTGTGAACTTTTTGACTCAGAAGAAACAGTACTATCCAGTAAACCACCACTTTGCTGACACTTTTAAAAAAAAAAAAAAAAAAAACGAGAAAACCCTGATTCCATATGCCGCATTAACCAGTTTCTTAACCTGTACTGACACTTGTAAGAATTTCCACATCCACACCTCTAGATTACTCTGCCCCTGCACCTCTTTTAGGAGGTATATCTTTTATTTTATGTTCTGTCCTCATTTTTCCTATCACCTCATACTTCTCCCTCAGAAATGTCATCTGCCAATTTTCTGTCTATTCTATCAGCCTAGCACTTTTCTCCTCACCGTTCGATACTTCCAAGCTTTGTGTTATCTGCAAATTTACAAATTGTACCCTGCACACCCATGTATAGGTCTTTAATACACACCAAGAGAAATTGTGGTCCTTGTAATGACCCTTGGAAAACCCCAATGATATAATTTGTTTTGGGTTTCTAAAGGAACCACATACCATTACTCTATTTCCTGATACTCTGATACCTTCACATCCATGCTGCCACTAACTCTTTTATTCCACAGGGCTCAACTTTGCAGTCAAACTTGTTAAGTGTCGTTTTATCAAACGCCATCTGGAACTCCATGAAGTTCATTTGCAATTTATTTCATGCCTGTTGATGGCAGCTTATTGCCTGGAAAGTGGCTGTCCTGTTTATATATTATGGTAGTAACTGCACTTTAAAACATTTTGAAAGATCCAGAGATCATGAAAGAAGCCATATAAAAGCAACTCCTTTTTTAGTGATTCTGGACATTTCTCGTAAGTTTCCAAACCTTTATCAATTTTGAAGTGAATGATTGATTGAAAGCTTTGATTGAAGGCTGTGAAATAAATCTAGGAAGGCTATCTGGAAATTGCACTGATTTGGTCATAGTTCAGTGTCCGCTCAAAGTTAATTGCATGATCAAAAAAGTGTTAAAGTTTCCATAAACCAGCACAATCTGGCATGAAATGACAAGGTGTAGAGCTGGATGAACACAGCAGGTCAAGCAGCATCAGAGGAGCAGGAAAGCCTAGACCCTTCAGGCCTAGACCCTTCTTCAGATCTCTGAAACAATCTGGCATGAAACTAGGACAGGAAGGCAGTAATTACCATAGTGGGAACGTTACTGGACTAGCAGTCCAGAAATCCACACTAATGTTCTGGGGGCAAAGGTCCAATTCCCACCACGGCAGCTAGAAAAATTTGAATTTTGATAAATTCTGGAATTAAGAGTTTGTCTAATGACGACAATGTAACCATTGTTGTAAAAACTATCCGGTTCACATTTCCATCCCAAAGGCACGTAAGAGACATTCTTACCTGGTCTGGCCTACATGTGACTGCAGACTCACAGTAATGTGGCTGACTCTTAACTGCCCTCTGAAATGGCCTAGAGAACTAATTAACTTGAGGACCACCAGGGATAGATAACAAATGCTAGTCTTGTCCATGATGTACATGTCCCATACAAGAATTAAAATTTGTTTCTGTTCTCTCTTTCTTAAAAAGTATTCCTTGATGCATTTAAAAGGTAACCTGCTGCAGGACCTTTTTTTCTAAAAAAAAGCTGAAAAATGGTTTAATCAGCAAAAATAAGCATTTTTAATCAGCCTCTATTCTGAGTGATTTTAATTAAAACCATTGAAAATGACTAAAAAAAACCATTTTAAAAATTGTCCACTAATGCTGTGACATAAGAAAATTAGCATAACTTTCAGAGTTTTCCTGAACAAAAGCAGTTCATGTAATCGTGCAATTTCTACCAAGGATCTTGCGGATATGATCAGATCCTCGCAAATTGAATCCTGAATTAACACAAGATAATATAGAAAACACAAACTTAAATGGATTTGGGCATAATTCGCAGTTAGAAACTTCGATATTCTGCACTAGTTCTGTTGATCCCCCTCCAGTTGTGTTGATTTTACTAGTGTAAATGAGTAGAAACTCCATCTACCGACACTAACATTTCAGTCATGGTGAAGCCAAAATATGGCACTGAAAAGCTTGAGACAGTCACACATGAATGCTAATGGGTATGAAGGGCTTAAACCCTTCCTAAATATGAAGTAGCTGTATAGATTCCCCTCTGTGTTGATATACTGCTACATCCAGAAGGCGACAGTGTAGTATTTCTGGTAGGTGTCAGAGTGGAAGGTCTTCTACCTTTTGTGCATATGCTGATGTTTCAGGAGGCTTGATGACACTGTGAACACCTTGCCACACACTTCACATTTGAATGGTTTCACTCCTGTGTGGATGCGTTGGTGCCGTGTCAGAGAAGACGAATCAATGAAGCATTTTGAGCAAACATCACACTTAAAAGGTTTTTCACCAGTGTGGATGCGGTGGTGTTTCAGAAGGCTTGAGGACACAGTGAAGGTTTTCTCACATACCTCACATTTGAATGGTTTCTCACCGGTATGGATGCGTCGGTGTTTCAGAAGGTTTGATGATTGCGTAAAGGTCTTATCGCACATCTCACACTTGAATGGCTTCTTACCAGTGTGAATGTACTGGTGTGATGCAAGTGAGGAAGAGGAGACAAAACGCTTCTGACAGAGGTTGCACTGGAATGGCTTCTCACCAGTGTGAACTCGCTGGTGATTGGTGAGGTGGGTGAACTGGATGAAACCTTTCAGACAAATGGTACATTGGTAAGGCTTCTCATCTGTATGTGTAAGCTGATGGATTAGCAGCTGTGATGACCTGCTGTAACCCTTCCCACACTCAGAGCATTTGAATGGCTTCTCACCTGTGTGGATATGCTGATGTGTTTTCAGTGAAGAAGATTCGGTAAAGCGCTTCAGACAGACATCACACTGAAAGGGCTTCTCACCTGTATGGATTCGTTGATGCTGTAAGAGGCTTGATGAAACTGAGAAGGCCTTTCCACAAACCTCACACTTGAATGGCCGTTCACCAGTGTGAATACGGTGATGCTTCAGGAGACTTGACATGTGCATAAAGACTTTATCACACACCTTACATTTCAATGCATCCTCATTCTTGTGGAAGCGCTGATGAGCAGTGAATAAATATAACTCTTTGAAGGTCTTTTCGCAACGAGAACATTTAAAATTTTCATCTTGCACAAAATCTCCTGGAAATGTGGTCAGCTTATTACTAGCCTCACAAGGTGACTCCTGAAATGAAGAATATCCTACAGCAACATCTTGGAAAATACTCTTTTCAGAGGTTCGACCGAATAGTTTCAGTTCCAATGATGTAGCACTGGTTCCCTGATCAGATGAATTTGTTGAATCTGGTTTTTCTCCCTGATGGGTTTCAGTTTGGGTTAGGCTGGTCAAAAACTTAACACTTTCCCCTGAAACAACTACATGAAATTGTTCTTCGGACAGCGATGTGGCACAAACTGCAGTATTCATCCTGTCTGCAAAACAAAACAGTAATTTATTTTATTCAATTTTTCTACTCTTCTCTACGAGTTTCCGATTCCTTGCTGTGAAAGATTTCAAAGTTTAAACAGGTTAAGTTATTAGGTCATTGGATTATGTCCATTCATTAGCTTCCAGTTTCATGACAATACTTCCAGCAATAGTCAGTGCACAGTAAGCAGGGTAGAACCCCTTGATGAACTTCCATCCCACCCTGTCCAAGAGCACAAAAGAAAATTGCAGTCTGGATCTCATTCTGTTGAACAAAAACAGAAGTTGCTGGAAAAGCTCAGCAGGTCTGGCAGCATCTGAGAAGGAAAAAACAGAGTTAATGTTTCGGGTCCGGTGACCGTTCCTCAGAACTGATGGTGGCTGGGAAAACGTCAGTTCATGTGCAGAGAAAAGTAGGAGGGGGATGGAGTAGGGAGTAAACGATAGGATAGAGCCTAAAGAGAGAGAAGAGCTGTTGGACAGATAATGATCAGGCTGAGGGGGTGAATAGTTGTTAATGGGGACTATTGGTGACTAATAACAGGTAGTGTGTAATGGCAGGCTATGTGCTAACAAGGCCTCGTGTGTGGGCTAGGGGTCTGGGACATGGGAGAGATTAGGCCCTAAAATTATTGAAGTTGATAGCGAGACTGGAGGGCTGCAGGGTTCCCAAGCAGAAAAGGAGGTGTTGTTCCTCCAGCTTGCGTTAAGCTTCTCTAGAACACTGCAGCAAGCCAGAGACAGACATGCTGGTCAGGGAACAGGGTGATGTGTTGAAGTGGCAGGCAACGGGTAGTTCAGGGTCTTTTTTGCGAGCAGAACGTTTACGTTCTGCGAAGCAGTCACCTAGTCTACGCTTCATTTCCCCAATGTAGAGGAGACCACATTGTGAGCAGTGAGTGCAGCAGACTAGATTCTGGGAAGTGCAGGTGAAGTGTTGCTTCACTTGGAAGGTATGTTTGGGCCCTTAGATATAGTGGGGAGGGAGGAGGTAAATGGGCAGGTGTTGCACCTTCGCCAATTACAGGGGAAGGTGCTGTGGGGGAGTGTTGGGGGTGAAGGAAGTGTGGACCAGAGTGTCCAGGGGGGCATGGTCCCTGCGGAAGGCAGACAAGGGAGAGGAGGGGAATAGGAGTCTGGTAGTGAAATCTTGCTGGAGGTGGCGGAAATAGCACTTGATGATCTGGTGGATGCTGGTGGGATGATAGGTAAGGACAAGGGGTACCCTAAGGCGGATGGGAAGAGAAGGGGTGAGGATGCAAGTGAGGGAGATGAGTCGGACCCTGTTAAGGGCCGTGTCAACCACGGAGCTGGGGAATCCTCGGTTGAGGAAGAAGGTGGCCCTTTCAGAGGCTCCCTTGTCGAAGTTGGCCTCATCTGAACGTATACGACGGAGACAGAGGAACTGAGAGAATGGGATGGAGTCTTTACAGGAAGTGGGGTGTGAGGATGTATAGTCCAGGTAGTTGTGGGAGTCAGTGGGTTTGTAGTGGACATTAGTGGACAGTCTATCCCCAGAAATGGAAACAGACATGTTGAGGAGGGGAAGGGAGGAGTCAGAGATAGACCAAGTGAAAGTGAGGGCAGGGTGGAAATTGGAGGCGAAATTGATGAAGTTTTCCAATTCCAGATGAGAGATGGAAGCAGCACCAACGATATCATCGATGTATCGGAGAAAGAGTTGTAGGTGGCGGCCAGAATAGGACTGGAACAATGAATGTTCCACGTATCCCACAAAGGGACAGGCATAACTAGGGCCCATGCGGGTACCCATGGCCACCCCTCTTACCTGAAGAAAATGAGTGAAGTTAAAAAGAGAAGTTGTTGAGGGTGAGGACGAGCTTGGCCAAGTGGAGGAGGGTGGTGGTGGTTCAGGTCTTTGCTCCACAAAGAAGCGGAGTGTCCCAAGACCCTCCTGGTGGGGAATGGATGTGTAAAGGGATTGCATGTCCGTGGTAAAGAGGATGCAGCTGGAACCGGCAAACTGGAAGTTTTGAAACCGGCGTAAGGCGTCAGAGGAAACATGGATGTATGTGGGCAGGGATTGGACTAGGGGAGAGAAGGTATACCGTTTTGGATACTGTTTGGGGAAGATGGCTCACCAGGGGAAGGCAGCAGTACCCAGGTTCATGGCACCTTGGCTGGCTCTGCTGTAGTGGAAGGGCTATAGTCATAGGGGATTTGATTGTAAGGGGAGTAGACAGGCGGTTCTGTGGTCCAAAAGGAAACTCCCGAATGGTATGTTGCCTCCCAGGTGCACAGGTCAGCGATGTCTCAGATCAACTGCAGGACATTCTGAAGGGAGAGGGTGAACAGCCAGCTGTCATGGTGCATACAGGCACCAATGATATAGGTAAAAAACGGGATGAGGTCCTACAAGCAGAATTTAGGGAGTTAGGAGCCAAGTTAAAAGGTAGGACCCCAGGAGGTAGTAATCTCAGGATTGCTACCAGTGCCACGTGCTAGTCAGAGTAGAAATGAAAGAATAGGAAAGATAAATGAGTGGCTTGAGAGATGGTGCAGGAGGGAGGGGTTCAGATTTTTGGGACATTGGGACCAGTTCTGGGGGAGGTGGGACTATCACAAATCAGATGGTCTACACTTGGACAGGACTGGAACCAATGTCCGAGGGTGTGCTTTTGCTAATGCTGTTGCGGAGGGTTTAAACTAAACTAATGTGGCAGGGGGATGGGAACCAAATGAGGGCGGTTAGTGGACAGTAAGGAGGCGGTAAATAAAGCCTGTAAGGAACTAGATAATGAAGTCAGTGAGACTACGGGGACGAGTAGGCAGAGAGCAGATGATGAACGCAAAGGGACAGGTGGTCTGAGGTGTATTTGTTTTAATGCGAGAAGTGTAGTAGGTGAGGCAGATGAACTTAGGGCTTGGATTAGTACCTGGGAGTATGATGTTATTGCTATTACTGAGACTTAGTTGAGGGAAGGGCAAGATTGGCAACTAAATATCCCAGGATATAGATGCTTCAGGCGGGATAGAGAGGAAGGTAAAAGGGGTGGAGGAGTTGCATTACTGGTCAAAGAGGATATCACAGCTGCATCCTCACACCCCACTTCCTGTAAAGACTCCATCCCATTTTCTCAGTTCCTCAGTCTCCGTCGTATATGTTCTGTTGAAGCCAACTTCGACAAGGGAGTCTCTGAAAGGGCCACCTTCTTCCTCAACTGAGGATTCCCCAGCTCCGTGGTCGACAGGGCCCTCAACCGGGTCCGACCCATTTCCACACCTCCATCCTCACCCCTTCTCTTGCCACCCGCAACAGCGACAGGGTTCCCTTGTCCTTACCTATCATTCCACCAGCATCTACATCCAGACGATCATCAGGCGCTATTTCCGCCACCTCGAGCAAGATGTAACCACCAAACACGTATTCCCCTCCTCTCCCTTGTATGCCTTCCGCAGGGATCGTTCCCTCTGGGACACCCTGTTCCAAAAATTCCTTCACCCCCAACACCCTCCCACAGCTCTAAGGCACCTTCCCCTGTAACCAGCAAAGGTGCAACACCTACCCATTTACCTCCTCCCTCCCCAGTATCCAAGGGCCCAAACATACCTTCCAGGTGAAGCAACACTTCACCTGCACTTCCCAGAATCTAGTCTACTGCATTCGCTACTCACAACGTGGTCTCCTCTACATTGGGGAAACGAAGCATGGATTAGGTGATTGCTTCACAGAACATCTACGTTCTGCTCGCAAAAAAGACCCTGAACTATCCATTGCCTGCTACTTTAACGCACCATCCTGTTCCCTGACCAACATGTCCATCTCGGGCTTACTGCAGTGTTCTAGCAAAGCTCAACGCAAGCTGGAGGAACAACACCTCACTTTCCGCTTGGGGACCCTGCAGCCCCACAGATTCAGTATCAAGTTCAATAGTTTCAGGCCTAATCTCTCCCATGTCCCGGCCCCCTACCCCACATACGAGGCCTTGTTACCACAGCCTGCCATTACACACTACCTGTTATTAGTCACCAAGTGGTCCCCATTAACAACTATTCACCCTTGCAGCCTGATCGTTATCAACTTTTTGTCTGTCCAACCGATCTTCTCTCTCTTTAGGCTCTATCCTATCGCTTACTCCCTACTCCATCCCCCTCCCCCTTTTTTCTGCATAGACACTGACGTTTTCCCAGTCACCATCAGTTCTGAGGAATGGTCACCGGACCCAAAATGTTCACTGTTATTTCCTTCACAGATGCTGCCAGATCTGCTAAGCTTTTCCAGCGACTTCTGTTTCTGTTCCTGACTTACAGCATCCACAGTTCTTTCAGTTTTTACTCACAGTGTTGAAGGTTGGAAACCTCATCTGCTTTCTCAGACCTTCTCCACACGCACCCTTCCACCCCACAGAATCTCACCAAAGGGCTGTCACAATTTTCAAGCCTCAAAAGCGGTTACACAGTGAGGAAAAAATTGGAAAGAATTGCCCTAAAGTCTGGAACACTCTCCCCAAATTCTTTGCATCTCTACACTAGTTTTTGGGCATTTTTAGATATATTATTAGTTGGCCACGTCAAATTTTGTCTGATGTATCTAAGTGCTTTGCAGGAGATTTATTGTACTAGGTGATAGGGGCTGTAATTTATTTTACATTTTCTCAAAAGAAAGATAAAGAATACAAAATTCAAAAGCTGTATTATGGAAAAAAACACTTGGCATGTATGTCAAAAAGAGAGAAAATGACACTATTCATTACAGACAGTAAAAACAGATGTATATTGAATAAACTTCAGAGATTATACTAAAATTATGCGACTTATTTTATTTTCTCAGTCTCATTTTAGTTGGACTCCAATCTTGAAAGCAAAAACACTGATTGTTACCTGTCTATTGTCGATAAATTAGAATATTTACAGTTTTTAATTAACACTTATTGCACCAGAACTACACAAAAACACAAACACAGATCCAAGAACAACCTTATGTAATATCTTTGATATAGAAAAAAGCCCCAAAGTACTTTTCAGGAGGACAGTCAGTCAAAAA